ACCAAAAACACCCATATATATTGTGTGCGTGCGTATTTGTGTGTGTACGTTTGAGTGTACGTTATGTATGTATGTTTGTATGTATGTAGGTAGGTAGGTAGGTAGGTAGGTAGGTAGGTAGGTAGGTAGGTAGGTATGTATATGTATGTGTATGTGGGTTTGTGTGTGTGTGTGTGTGTGTGTGTGTGTGTGTGTGTGTGTGTGTGTGTGTGTGTGTGTGTGTGTGTGTGTGTGATAAGCAACTTTGCAATATATAACATACATGTCGTACAACCAAATCAAAACAACATTAGCACAAGAACTCATCCCGGAGCATTCCTAAGAGAGTAGAAGCCTGCGAAGTTCTTTGCTTTTGGCGGCCACAGCATCAATGATGTCTTCATTGTCCAGTTTGGTCAAGATCTCCTTTTCCACTGACACCAGCATAAGTGCCTCAAGATGATCTGGTGTCATTGTGCTTCGGTGACAGGTTGTGATCCCCTTCAGGGCAGAAAACGACGTTCGCATGCACCCTGCGACACATGCATGGTTAGTTGTAGCTTGTAAGCAACTCCAATGCCTTTGTAAGCATCGGTGAAGAGGTTCAACTTGAGTAGCACCTTGTAACAGCAGAGAGGGCAAACCTTGCATGAGATACATGTAACGGTGGAACTTGAAACATTTTGTGTCCTCAGTTCGGATTCACAGAGAATATCGCTGTCTTTTACCTCACAGTGGTCTGCAACTGACTGCTTCAGTGATTTCCATTGTTCTCCAAAGCTTTGCAATTCTGTTCGTAGCCTTTCAGCGGTGACGTTATCGTCAAATCTCAGTAAATACTCTTACAGCTCTTCCATAGCCTCTGATGGGACTTCATCAAAGTTTCTTGGATGAAGAAGGGACAGGTCAGCAAACAATCTTGGCACTGCAGATCCTTTAAATCTTTGTTCAATGCTGTTAACAAAGTTGTTTACAATTTGATAGTACACGTCTTCAAGACAATACTTCTTGATTGGGCCAGCTGTTGATGTAGCTTCGTCTGTACAGAATTGATCGGCTGTGCATGAATCACATTTGCATAGCAACTTAACTATTCCCAGGAAAGTACAATGGTCAATTTCTGCATTGCACAAAGTGTTGGCTGCCTCTTCCGTACTTCCTCTGTAGTTTATTCCCCTCTTGCCTACGAGTTTAACTACATCCGCAACTCACTTGTCGTTTTTTTCTGACTTCATCACAGCAATCCCTCGCCAACACGTGAGAAATGCTAGATTGTTTTTTATCAACCAGTTATACTGTTGAGCATTGCAGATGCAAAGACGAACGTTCATGCTGTTCAATACGAGAATGTATAATATGTCGCCAGTCTTTTATCCCTTCAAGAAATGCGGATGTGTCTGAAGTGGCAGAAAACACCAAACAGACAGAACAATGACTCATGGGAGTCTTTGTTATAAGACAGCCACCATCTGTTAGAACCGTCTTTACGAAAGAAACTTCTTTGCACCACTCGATTATCAGTCTTCTGACGTGGATGATGATTCCAAAACAACAACCTTTCTTCTCCAGTGCAAGGTTTCTTAGAGTAGTCACTCATGAAATCTTCACTTCCTGTGGCTTCAAGTTCAGTATATGCAGTCTGTTCTGTGCTAGCCAGGGGCAAAGCTTCCCTTTCCCTTGTTGGTTTAATTTCTCTCATTTCACCTGATGATGGTCCAGACACCAATTCACCGCTTTTGTCCACCTCGCCAAGTTCAGTTGTTTCGCCTGCTGATAGACCAGCAGCAGCTTCCAATCCACTGCTTTCGTCCACTTGGTCAAAATCCGCTGTTTCAACTGCTGAAGGTCCAGCTGCTTGTGCCAGTATACTGCTTTCTGCCACATTTTCACCGATTTAAGGTCCCTTAATTTTGCATCAGCGCTTTTGAACAGATGCAAAATATTATGATTTATAGTCTCTGGGTTGACTGACAAAAACTGGTTGAAACTCGTGCAGCGAATTTAGCGGAAACGGGATGCCTTCCACTTGATGTTTTAAAAACAAACATCTTTCTGAACGTTGCTCAATAGGTCTACCGCAG